ATTGGAAGTAGTGGGCTTGATCTCTCCAATCATGTCAATGCTCCACATTGCAAATGACCAATGGGAGGTCATGATGTTCAGAGGGATAGGAGGCACATGGACCTTGTCAGCATAGATTTGGCGTTTGTGATAAGTCCTTGAATGTTGATGGAAATCAGTCTCCATTGTTGACCAATAGTAGCCACCTCTTAGGATATTCTTGGCCATCGTATGTCCACTTGAGTGAGTGCCAAAGAGACCATAGTGCATGTCTTCCATAATTTCCTCTGCCTCCTTCTTGTCCACACATCGGAGTAGAGTAGGATCTTGGTTGCGTCTGTACAATATTCTGTTGGTTAGGAAGAATTTGGCTGAAAATCTTCGTAAGAACTTTCTGTCATTGATGGATGCTCCTTAGGGGTACTCTTGTGCTTCAAGATATCTCATCACCTCATGGTACCATGGGTTTTCCGTGACAGTGTCAAGCTCACAGAAATGTGCAGGTTCATCTAATCTCTCAATTGTAATCATAGGGGCTTCGTTGTCCCATCTGACCTTGAACATTGAAGACATGGTTACCAAGGCGTCGACCAACTGATTTTCTTCCCTAGGGAAGTGCTCAAAGGTGATCTCTTCTAAGTAGGGAATCAGGGGTAGCACAAGTTCCTTGTAATGGATGAGATTAGGGTGTTTAGTGTCCCAATCTCCTTTTAATTGGCTGATCACTAGAGCGGAATCCCCAAACATATTCAAATGCTTGATCCTCAAGTCAATGGCAGCTTTCAGACCCAGAATGCACGCTTCGTACTCAGCTATATTGTTCGTGCAATCGAAGCAAAGTCCGGCAGTGAATGGAGTGTGGCAACCTTCAGGGGAGATGATCACAGCACCAATTCTGTTACCCAAGGCGTTGGAAGCCACATCGAAGACCATAGTCCATCGGGATCCTTGTTCAGGTCCGTCATGCGGTCCAGGTTTCGTACAGTTGGTCACTAGCATGATGTTCTCATCTGAGAAGTCAAAATTCATAGACTGATAATCATCGAAGCTTGATGGGCCAAATGATCTGCTAGTATGCTTCCCTTGATGGACTTTTGTGTTGTGTATGGAATGTCTTACTCATCAAGATCATTTTCCATCTTGCTATCCGTCCGGAGAGAGCAGGTTTCTCGAAGATATACTTGATTGGGTCCATTTTAGAAATCAACAGAGTGGTATGAGTCAACATATATTGTCTTAGTCGGCGAGCAGCCCATGCCAGAGCGCAGCAAGCTTTTTCAAGCAGTGAATATCTAGTTTCATAGTCGGTAAACTTTTTGCTCAGGTAATAAATAACATGCTCTTTTCGGCCAGACTCGTCATGTTGGCCCAAAACACACCCCATAGAATTCTCTAGTCCTGTCAAGTACATGATCAAGGGTCTTCCTTCAATTGGGGGCATGAGAATAGAAGGTTCTTGTAGATATTCTTTGATTTTTTCGAAGGCAGCTTGGCATTCATCATTCCATCTGACTACTTGATCTTTCTTCAAGAGTTTAAAGATTGGCTCACAAGTAGCAGTCAAGTGAGATATGAAGCGGGCGATGTAATTGAGACGACCCAAGAATCCTCTAACTTCCTTTTCAGAATGAGGGACTGGCATTTCTTGGATGGCCTTCACCTTGGCAGGATCAACTTCAATTCCTTTATTGCTGACAACAAAACCTAGAAGCTTTCAAGATCGTACTCCAAATGTGCACTTGTTAGGGTTCAACCTCAACTTGTACCTTTTTAGCCTTTCGAATAGTTTGTACAGGTGATCGATATGTTCCTCTTCATTTTATGATCTGGAAATCATATCATCCACATAAACCTCTATTTCATGATGAATCATGTCATGAAACAAGGCTACCATGGCTCTTTGATATGTTTCCCCTGCATTCTTCAATCTAAACGGCATGACCTTGTAGCAAAAGGTGCCCCATTGCGTGACAAAAGTTGTCTTCTCCATGTCTTCGGAGCCTTCCTTATCTGATTATAGCCAGAGAATCCATCCATGAAAGAGAAGACTTTATGTTGAGTAGTATTATCGACCAACACATCAATGTATGGTAGAGGGAAGTCATCCTTGGGGCTTGCCCTATTCAAATCCCTATAGTCTATGCAACTGCGAACTTTTCCGTCTTTCTTTAGTAGTGGCACTACATTGGAAACCCATTGAGGATAAGATGTCATAGCTAAGAACCCTGCATCAAATTGTTTCATCACTTCCGCTTTTATCTTCTAAGACATATCAGGCCTCATGCGACGAACCTTTTGTTTGACATGAGGACGGTCTTCTTTTGCTGGCAGACGATGAACTACGATGTCGGTATCCAACCCTGGCATATCTTCACATGACCAAGCAAATACTTCCACATAATCATGCAACATCTAAACCAACCTGATGTTGACACTGTCTTTTAAGTTAGCAACGATCTTGATTTCCTTCTTGTCTGTCTCAGTACCCAGATTGATGACTTCAACTGACTCTTCGTGTGGCTGAATAACTTTTTCCTCTTTTAACAGAAGTCTGGCTAGTTCTCCTGGTATTTCATGATTTTCCTCACCTTCGTCTTTGGCTTGGTTAATTGGACATTCAAAGTCATAGTCGACAATAGTAGAGTCATTGGCAATAAGATCTAGAGTGGATGAGGACCTGCAAGAGTGTGTGTGTGTGTGTGCATATAATATACATGGCTATTTTGAAAAATGTATTTGAAAGAAAAGAAAGACAATGAGCATAAAGATTTGAATTTAAAAGAGTCCAATGATTTGTATTGAATGATCATATGATTAGATGAACATAAATAAAACCCTTGACAAATGGACCAAAGTGCCCCAGGCCAGGCACATGGCTTAAAAGTCATTGTTAAATATTACAGACAAAATGTTCTTGAATTGAAAGAAAAGCAATAACAAGTAGATTAATCCTCAATGAAGGATATGGGCACAAAGTCCTTTTCATGCTAACTCTGGAGCTCCATTGTAGTAGGATACACCCAATCTTCAAATGCAACTTCATCATCAGAGTCACCCACGGCGTTAACTTCATTGACACCCTTGTCATGTTTTGGCATAGGCGCGGTGATTACATTCGGAGTTGGAGGAGGATCAAATTCAACAATCTTGTTATCGATCAAATCCTAAATTTTATTCTTCAAGGCCCAACATTGGTCAGTTTCATTCCCAGGGCTACTTGAGTGGTAAGAACATTTAGCGTTCAGATTATACTTTAGTGAAAAGGTATCTGGGTTGGCAGGTGGGTCGTGCAATGTCACCAGGTTATCCTTTAGCATGTGTTTTAATGCTTGAGATAGTGACATGCTTAACCTCGTAAATTGTCTTCTCGGAGTTTCAAAACATTGATGATTAGCATATGGTCTTGGAGTAGGAGTGGGATTGGAGATTCGGACAAAATTAACAGACGGGTGATCATTCTTCTTGGTACGGGCCCTTGCCCCGTACACAACATTGATTTCCTTCTTTATAGCAAAAGGTTTCTTTACAGGATTGGAAGTGGAGGCAGATGCCACATATATATTCCCACTTTTGATGTCGCTTTCAACTCTTTCACCGGTTAAGATTAGCTCGGGGAAACCAGAAGAAGAACAGCTAACCAACGAGTTAAAGAATGGACCAGACAAGGTGCCCATAAACATGTCAATGTGCTCCCTATCAGTCAAAGGTGGTTGAACCCTACTGGCGAGGTCTTTCCACTTTTGTGTGTATTCCTAGAATCCTTCATTCTTCACTACTAAAAAAAAGACATTTGAGAAAAGGTTTTTACATCGGGTATCAAAATAGGTGATGTAAAAAATACAGTTAACAAACTTTTTACATCAGGTATTTATTTCCAATGATATAAAAAATAAGGGAAAAATTTTTTTCGTCACCTATTACATCGGGCAATCTCATCCACCGATGTAAAAGATTTCCAGAAAAAAACACGGTGGCATTTTTGTAAATAAGAAACAAGGTGACAAAAAAGTTAAAAAAAATATAAGCAATATATTACATCGGTTTAAATAAAAACCGATGTAAAAAATGTGCTTGAATTAATATATAAAATATATTGATAAATCATAAAAACGTGGGTTAAAAAAAAAAAAGTAAGCTATTACATCGGTTCGGACTCTCCACCGATGTAATAGGCCAACACGTATTTAAAAAAAAAAGCAACCTATTACATCGGTTGGAGTTTCCACCGATGTAATAGCCTAACAAGTATTTAAAAAAAAAAAAAACAACCTATTAAATCGGTGGAAGTTTCCACCGATGTAATAGCCTGAGAAGTATTTAAAAAAAAAAAACAACCTATTAGATCGCATTTCAAAGCAAGTTTCGTCACCGAATCGAATCGATTGAAGAGAGACGAAATCATCGGAAGCAGATCCAGCTTCGCGTTCAACGACAACCGCTGCCGACTCTGTCCTTCAACAGTCAACCACCGCCGACAAACGAGCGAACACTGATTCCGGTCACCGGGGCTCAACGACTGAAACACAATCGCTAAACACTCATCCGGTAGATCTGATATATAATCGGAGATTCCACGGTTAACCGGATCTATAATATCTTCATCGTCTTCTCCGGTAGCGTTCATCGGAGAAACCAAGGAGGTGGATCTAGTGGTTTTCGCGGTGTTGGTGTGTCTTTCCCGACGGTTGACGACGGCGGCAGTGGAAGCTGCTTGTCCCATCCACGGCTGATGTTGAATTGACGAGCGATAAAACGAAGGGTTGAGATTGAAAGATGAACGATTCGCAACGGAAAGTATTCCACCCTCAGTTGTTCTGTAACATTTTTTCTATCGTCGTTTTGGGTTTCAGTTTCAGAGTTGAATAGCGGATTTGAAATCAATCTTCATTTTCATTTTCAATATGGTTGTGACTCCATATAGTGGACAGTATGATTGAGTACCGTGGGGGTCTGTGCCACGTGTAATTTGTAGTGAAGGGTTATTGGTGACTGATAGAGATGAGTAGCATAAAGTTCTGTGTATGGATTCGTTGCAGAATAAACGGTTTGATAAGGTAATTTACACTGTGTTTGATTATGGGGTAAAAAAATTGAAGGGAATTGATTCTGAAAATGGTTTGTCTCAGGATAGAAAACCATTTTCACACTGTGTTTGTGATTCTGAAAATGGTTTCACAAAGATACCACTGATTACCTGTGGCATACAACAAGGTTTGTCTCAGGATAGAAAATGGTTAAGAACACAATAATATTGGAACTTGATTGTGTTGATTTTAATAATTTTAAAATGCTTTAGTTTGAGACTTTTTCTGGCTTTTGTTTTCTTTTGGTGGAAATATGGGAACTTTTTCTATTTCACTATGTTCATATATCTGTATGATTGTTATGAAGAACTTAGAATTAAAATTAGATTCATTCACAAACATCTCTCCATAAATATTTGATAATATTCCCTTCCTTCTTTCTTGAAAGGCTCATTTGTATAATGTAATATACATAAAGGGTACTATTTTCAAAGTAGATATATGCTGTCATATTAACATGCTTTTGTTTTCATTCATTGACTTAGTGTAATCATTGTTACAGAAAAAGTTAAGGAGCTAATAACTTGCCACAATGAAATCAAAGTATTCAAGGCAACTGAATCACTCAAGGATAAGGCCATGGAACATGTACTTTAGAAAATATGGATTTTTTTACTATTCAATATTGTTCTATATTTTGGTACGCAACTGGAACTACACTTTAAAATCATAGTATCCGATAGAGGTACTAATATCGGCTATAATCCTCTTTCGCCAATTCCAGTTGAGAAATGAAGCTAGTAAACTTGATGAGAGATTTAGAGTTACAGAAGATCATCTTAAGCAAAAGGTGCATTGATTTTGGTATATTAACTATTTCTTTGAAGTAGAAGCTATATTCAACGTTGGTAGAACCTAAAATGCTTTTTGTTTTTATTTTCAAATTTTATTGCTATGCAGAATCTAGAAATTAAGAAACTGAGAGATGAAAAGAAAGAAGCATTGGCTGCACAATATGCAGCAGAAGCAACACTTAGAAGGGTACATGCAAATCAAAAGAATGAAGATTATGTTCCAATAGATAGTAGTTTCATTGCTACGGGCGCAACGGCTAACATTGTTCGCGATTACCAAAGACAGATTTCCGAATTGCAAGTAATTAGCATTCTTCTGAACTTAATGTTGGATATATTGACTGTGTATTTGGTTGATCTTATGTGGTAACTTGATTTTGCATATAAATTTTTAGGATGAGAAAAGAACACTGGATAGGGAACTAGCAAGAGTAAAAGTTTCGGCTAATAGGATTGCAAATGTCATGACTAATGAGTGGAAGGATGAAAGTCATAAGGTCATGCCTCTTAGGCAATGGAAAGAAGAGAAAAGAATTATGCAGGTATGTATGAATTTCTATAAATTCTTCCCAACAATCTCACAAGTGTTTATGTTAATAGATAAGTTTAAATAAGTCAATCCAAACAAATCCTAAATGAAATTTCTCTGATCCATTATGTCTTTGCGCGTGTAGGCAGAGATGCAACGGTTGAAAGATAAGCTAGCTATATCAGAGAGAAGAGCTAAGGCGGAGTCACAACAGAAGGTATATATATCTGACATATTAGTCTTTTATGTAAACAAACATCTTGATCAACTTTCAACATGTTATTTGGTGTTTACTTCAGGAAAAACTAAAAGTGAGGCTAAAAGCACTTGAGGAAGGTTTAAAACATTTTTCAAGTAACAACTGGACCATTTTACGAGTTCGTAGGGGCGGGAGTAACAACTGTAAAGATTAATGGACTTAACAACAAGACGATAGACTTGTCGTCTAATGCGTGGACTTACAAGGTACTTTTCCTCTTGCATTATCATCTTAAAATTGATTTAAATTTGGATCTCCTATTACCTTCTCAATCTTTTAGAGACAATTGACTGTAATATAAGATGTGAACAATGACTTTTGTCGACCTTCGTCCTTTGATCAAGTGTTTCTTCCTTTCTCAGATTGGAGTACAAGGAGAACATCAAAGGTTACACCTGGTAGATGGGTTGAATAATACGAAATGGACATCTACTTCAGAAGCACCAAAAGGCCAGGCACTGACATGGTACAAGGTAATTCCTTGTTTTTTCATCCTAAAAACGTGATCTATTCGGGAACAATGTGGTTTTTTCTGCTGAAGCATGTTTTAAATTCCATGATCTTTTCAGGCTACTGTGGATGCCCCACCTGGGGATGAACCAGTTGGGTTTTAAATTTACCAGTTCTGTGTTTGATTATTGCAGGTCAAAGTTGTTCGAGAGACTATGAATCTGGCATTGGATATATGGAAGGAAGTAAAAGATGTGTCTGAAAATGCTCCTACTCCTCAAAAAGCAACACATTATTTGGTGCACGTAAGTAAATTTTATTGTTTTATTAAAGTCAATCTCTATTAATATGTTATATCTCTCATGTGTTGCTCATGTGTTGAGTTTCTTGATTTTTTTGCTGATGTTAATTGTTATTATTTATTGTCAGGCAATATGATTTTGGTGTTGTCTACCGAAGATTTTATATTGGTAATTCAAGTTTGGAAACTTAGAAATAGTTGAATATTTTAGTATATGTATATTTTGTGAATATTATATAATTGTAAGTTTTGAAAAAGACTTATAAATAGTTGAATATTGTTTTATATTTTGTGAAGAATTTGTAATTGTAAGTTTGTATGTTGTAATACAATACAAGTTTGCAATACAATTGTTCAATTTGTAAGTTTGTTGTGAAAAATATGAAAACATCGTCCTAAATGTGATATATGTGATGTTGGAAAGCTATGAAATCTATATAGCGACATAAATATAGTCTGTTTGATATTGGAAAAATATGAAAAAATGGGTACAAATTATATTTGTATAGGGAAACCCAGGAAATAAATAATCTATTCCAAAAAAATTTCATACATTTTACATCGGTTATTAGTAAAACTGATGTAAAAACTTTCAAAAAGGGACTTTTTACATCGGTTGGAAGTAATACCCGATGTAAAAAGTCGCGTTACTGGGAACTTTTTACATCGGGTATTACTTCCAACCGATGTAAAAAACTGGATCAATTTTTTAAAAACTGTGCATAATAACAGGTTATTACATCGGTTCTGATATTATAACCGATGTAAAAAAGGGACTTTTTACATCGGTCCCAGAACCGATGTAAAAAGTCCCTGATTTACTATATCACCTGACTTTACATCGGATCCAAAACCGATGTAAAAAGTCAATTTTACCCGATGTAAAAAGTCATTTCTGCACTAGTGCTTCCTCATGGTCATATCTTGCAACTGAACCCTTGTTGGCACCAAGTCGGCATTATACTGGTACTGATGGTAGAATGCGGTAGCTAAGTCTTCCCAAGTATTGATGCGGGAGCCATCTAACTGGTAGAACCACTCTAGTTGCGTTCCGGTCAAGCTCTCTTAGAAATAGTGAACCCAGAGTTTCTTATTAGCGGTGTGCGGCTGTATCTTGCGCACATAAGATTTCAAGTGGAGTTTTGGACAAGAAACTCCATCGTACTTTTCAAAGACTGGTATTTTGAATTTGTGGGGAATGACAACCCCAGAGATCAAACCCAAATCATCAAAATCTAAACTGGGGACAACTTGGATTTCAACAGCCTTCAATTTGTCTTCTAACTGCTTGTATTTGGCATCGGCGGGTGGATACTGCTCTTTAAAATAATCATCATCAGATGCTTGATCATTAACACAGTCATCCTGGGTACTCTTAACCTCACCAATCTGATTCTCGTCTTCTTTGGATGAGTCTTCCACTATCGGGATCTGACTTTGAATCTTCTGCCCATATTGAGCAGGGCTCTCTTCTTAGGTTTCTTCTTAACTTCCAGCAATGCCATCATATCTTTATGCCCCTGGCTAGGGCCAGTAGAGTTTCTTGGAATTAAGAGTTTTGTGCCTGAAGATCCTTCACAGTTTTCTCTAGATCCATCTTGCTGAAATAAACAACAGAAAGATAAGGAAACATGTTATGTGAAAACCTGTCATGTTATGATGCATGGAAGATGTATATACAAATGATTTCAAGGATTTATGAAATTTAAATTTGTATAGACAAAGCATGAACAAACGTCAATTTCATTAATTAGTTCAAAAGGATTACAACATGCCTCTTGGGCTTACATAATAACTTTCTAAGATAAAAAGACTGAATGCATCCTTTTCGGCGCAAGGTAGGAGTTCACACTTTGCTCTTCTTGTAGCTGCTTTGTAAGCTCCAAGACCCTCTTCTCGCTAGCATAAAATTGAGCTTCGAATGTATCTCGTTCTTCATTTAGCTGAATCCAACCTTTTTGTATGTCTTCAAGAGAAGTAGGCATGTCGGGATGGAGAACAATGTACTGGACATCTTCTTCAACCACAGGTTCCATGATGACTGGTAAGATAGAGGGATAAGGCATCACAGGTTTCTGAGCACGAGCTCGTACCCACCTAAGGTAAGGCTCGAGGGGAATGGAATTCTTGTGTCCCAACGTCTTTCTATCCACTTTGCTCACCATCCTCCAAGCTCGTATAAACCTCTGGCCGTAGTTTTGGTCGTCGCTCTCATAGTCGAATACCACTCCTTGGATGAGCATCTCATGTGGACCATCCCTTCGGGCGTAACCAAAATGTCATAAATCTAATCAGGGGTTGTAATTGATACCTCACCTAATGCTAAGCAAGGGACATTAGGGAATTCCCCATAACGGTCGATGATAGTAACGTTCTCCAAAGATCGAGAACACCAATGAACATCTGAATGTCTGAGCGTCATCAACCTATGGGACCACCTCGAACCTTGCTCGTTCTTCAACACAGATCGGGGAAGATGCGAAATAAACCATATTTCCAAGAGAGGAGTGCAACACATGAGGATTCCTCTCTTCCTCATAGTGCGAGAGTGAAAAAAATGTAGGATATCCCCCAATAAAGTAGGCACTGGATTGCGAGACATGAAGATTTTGACAGCATTTACATCTATGAGTTGGTCAGGGTTTGGAAATAAAACCATCCCATAAATGAGAAGGGCCAAGATTTCTTCAAAAGCTTGTAAGTCCAAAGAGTTCCAACAATCTTTAGCTTTCTCGAACAAGAACTTGGCTAAGAAACCTTTGACGCCACTCCTTGTTTCCCAATTAGTTGTGATATCAGATTGTTGCAGGTGTAATGCTTGGGCAATCTCTTCAGGTTTTGGATCTCTTTCCATACCATTGAAGGGTAGTTGATTAAGAATGGTAATCCTCAAGAGTTGAGAGAATTATTCTAAAGTTGGCACAAGTTGATAATTGGGAAAAGTGAAGCAATGGTGTAGAGGATCAAAGAATTGGAACAACACCTTCATCATGTCTTCATCAGTGTTGGAGGTAACCAAGCATAGGAGGCGACCATGTCTTTCGGTGAAAGGAGAATTCTCAGGAACCCTTGATGCTAACTCTTTAAGTTGAAGAGGAATTCTTACGAGATTGATATGGATAGTATTCCTGCGGATAGAAGCCATGTCCTACAAAATAGAAAAAAGATAAATCCCAATAATCCTTGAAATGGTTAGTGAGTATGAGTATGATGTTATGATATTAATGATGTCATGTACAAGTAAGTATATACAAACAAGGAAAAGAAGTCCTTCGGTTTAGGCTTGCATGGAGTCTCATAGGTAAGTACCCTCTTGAAGTTTAGTTGGCTCAAACTTGTCCTAGAAATAGTAACTGGGTTCTAAGGGATCTCAATATCACTGATCTGTCTTCTCGGGCATTATTTCAGCACAAGCCTCTTTCACGGTGACCGAAAAATCCCGAAAAGTCAATCCTCAATGAGTATAGTATCGAGTATCAACCAACTTCGAACTGCACCAAAGCCGGTTATCTCACTATGTCCTAATGGCCAAGTTGGTCAAGTAAAGGTTCTAAAAGTCAGTTAGTGCTTCATGACATCACACATCGGCCCCGTATTCTCCTTGACTACTCGAGGGCTACCGGTACCCACAAATATGTCACACTAACGTAGCTATTGCTTAGAACATGTTGGTATACCCCGCACAGTTTCCACAATGTATTGCTACTTACCTATAAGGTATCCCAAATCCGGGTAGAGGATTAGAACAAGCCCAAACAAATAACCAAAATATAAAGCAAACAAGTCAAACAATGAAAGAAAATAGGTGATCTAGCCCTAAGATAACCCCACTTTTAAACATTCCCCAGCAGAGTCGCCAGTTCTGTGATACAGTGGGAGAACTGACTTGGGTGTTTTGCATTTTATTATAAATGTTGTGGTTAGCAAGAGTCTCCACTGACTTTTCTTTTATCCAAAAGGAAAGGCTGAAAAGAACAGGAAAGACCTTTGAGATTATTTCTTGAGTTCGGGGGGTAGATTATGAAAAGGGAAGGTGTTAGCACCCTTTTCATCCATAGTTATCTATGGGGTCTTAGATGCTTGCTAGATCACTTGCTTTTGTTTGAAAATGTGCTTTGTGTGGTTTTTAAATGTATTTTAAAAAGGCGCCATCGTTTAGGCAAACTTTGTAATAGTTCTCGTTCGTAAGAACGTATACAAAGTGTTGATCTTTTGAAAATGTTTCATGCTTGGAAAATGTTTTGAAAGTGTTTTTGAAAGTGTTGGTGTTTGTTTTGAAAATAAGCAAGGATGTTTGATTTGAAAATGAGCAAGCAACTAGGAACAATCTACTTACTCAAAAGTCTTAGTTCATTTCTTCCTTTCCTTTGATATTTCTATCTTACCATTGATTTGGTAAGAAGCCTTATCTTTGGATGTAAATGGATGGGTGTGGGTCATCGTATAGCCATGATAGCAATATTGTGAGATATCTTAGCATTTCTCTTTGATGGACTAAGATCTTTTTGAAAGGCAACATTGATAGCGTCATCGAGGGACTATGATCTTGTATTTTTGATTTATTTTGGCTAAGATATCCCACATGCATAACATGGCCATTTTTGTAAGGAAACAAAGTGGAATTACCCTAAGGGTGCAAGTGTGCAAGTGTGTTTGATTTACATGCATTGTCTTGTCTTGAATTAGGGTTTGCTACTTGTTGATTTTAATCTTTCCATACAAATCCTAATTACTAGCATTTATATAAAGCGATAAATTTGCGGAAACTAAAATTACTACGCTATTACATAATTAGGGAGGGGGTATGAAAATTTACAAATGGAGATTTGCAAGAAAATTAAACCTAATTAACTATTACAACCA